CCCAGACTGGACCAGCGATCTCTGGACTGTAGGGTTACAGTATGTATTCATCTGCAGCTGCAGTATTCGGAGAGGTGTGGCTGAAGGGCTGTATCAGTCATCCTGTTGTTTTGTGATCTTTGGACACTCAGGAAGGTGTGTCTGCTTGTTTTCCAGGTTCTGGAGGGAGAGTCTGTGAAGAGGAGGAAGAGGATAGACTGGGAGACAGCCTCTCTCAAAAACACACACACACATACACACCTACTGTATGCACAGATACAATCTGAAATATGCACACACGACACAGATACCAATAAAAGGAAACCTGTTAAACTCACATGACTGTGCTTTTTTGGTAAAGCAATAAAGATGTGTTTGAGTACAAAACACCAGGAGAGGGCTGACATTCTGTGTTTGTGGAATATGGCTTCTGTCCACCAGGGGGCTCACTCTCTGCCAGCACTGATACAGGAGGCCCTTAATGGTCCCTTCTCAACCAGACCGAAGTACTCCCGAGTTGAACTGGATCAGTTAAGTCTCCCATTTAGATGTGAGTGTGCTGGAGAGACAGAGAGACCTGTAAGACCGTCGGGACTGAACACTGTCCAGGTCTGCCGAACCCCTGGGTCTCAAAATGGATGCCTGCTGACAGACCTGCAGTCGGGCGACACCAAATTTTTATTGCAGACATTTTGGAAGAGCTGGGTGTGTCACCCTCCCATTCTCCCAGCCTGGTTCCCCTCTGTCTCTCAATCCCTCTCCTCTTTCTCTCTCTCAATCTCTCTCCTCTTTCTCTCTCTCAATCTCTCTCCTCTTCTCTCTCTTTAAATGCCTTCTATCCCTCTCTCCCCTGACGTGCTCTGACTGTTTTGGGGTGGGGATGGGGAGGGGGGTGCCCCTCTCTCTCTGGTCATGCTTCGTTAGCCTTGCCTGACTGGGGCCTCAGGCTCTGTCAGTGGGGTCTGTGTGTTCCCATATCGACAGGCTGGAATGTCAGATCAGGTCCGATCATCGTCACTGTGGCTCAGCCAGTGGCATGTGACTCCCAGCTGTCTGGGAGAGAGAAGTGTCTTTGGAGGACATTATGGACACTTTACTTTATAAACATTGTGTGTTGAAAATGCAGCCACCAAATGGCTCAACCAGTACAGGGACTGGTCCAGTCTGGGCTGGGTCATACTGTTACCCTACAGTCCAGAGATTGGCGGTCCGGTATGGGCTGGGTCACACTGTAACCCTACAGTCCAGAGATCACTGGTCCAGTCTGGGTCACACTGTAACCCTACAGTCCAGAGATCACTGGTCCAGTCTGGGTCACACTGTAACCCTACAGTCCAGAGACTTGGGGGGGGGGTCCTGCAGTCAGTTTCAGTTCCTGCTGCCTCCACATGGCCAAGCCTGCAGTCATGTGATCGCTCCGTGTCTCTCTTCTCCGGCGTCAGCCTGTGAACAGATGGCTCACTCCAACAGATACGAACAGGCCTGGGGGGAGCAGGGTTCACAGTCAACACAGGCTTCACAATATTCACTGTCAGGTTTAATAAAGACCTAACAGACGTTATACAGAACTTGACACAGTGCCAGCAATTCTGCAGAGCCTCCTGTGTCCCTCAGTGAAGAGACTAATGTCCACCTTATTCTGCACGGATTCAGCCACTAACTGGCTCAGTTCAGTAATTGGCAGCAGGTCAGGACAGAGAGCAGAGCCTGCTGCACACCAGGGCCAGAGCTCCTCTGTGTAAATTCCATGTCCTGCTCTGCTGCACAGGGGAACAGTGGGAAATGTCAGTGCTGAGTAAGGTAAGGGCCTGTTTATTGTATGAGCTTGTCAGGATTGAGTCTCCGGGGCTCTGGCAACTCTCAGCTTGTTCAGTCGTGCTGAAGTATGTGTACAGTAGGTGCAATCAGCTGTTTTCAGGCATGTCTGGTTATGATCACTTGTGTAGGCGCAATGAGCTGTGTTGAGGTGTGTCTGGATGTGATCAATTGTGTAAGTGCGATGAGCTGTGTTCAGGCGCATCTGGCTGTATTGAGCCATGCAGGTGGGACGAGCTGTGTTCAGGCGTGTCTGGCTGTGATCAGTGGTGCAGGTGCGATGAGCTGTGTTCAGGCGTGTCTGGCTGTGATCAGTGCTGCAGGTGCGATGAGCTGTGTTCAGGCGTGTCTGGCTGTGTTCAGTTGTGCAGGTGCAGGTGCGATGAGCTGTGGTCGGGCGTGTCTGGCTGTGTTCAG